ATTCTATCTAAGTAAGAATGCTGCGAAACGCGTCCTGTGCTGAAAAAACGTTGCGAAACACATGCTACAATCTTGGAAACGCGTTACGCAGTGCGTTTCCTTCAAAATTTTACGCCATGGGAGATGCTGCTGATAGATACTATGTTGAAGCCTAAACGCTGTTAATATCTATATAACAGAATTTATTTCCACCTAAATATCGTTTTCACGATTATTGATTTTTGATTTATGACAACAAGTGGTTGAAAACCTAAACAATGAAGTAGTATTTCTTTTGCTTCAATACTGTCAACAACATATCTCTCACATTGTCTTCTTTTCCTAGAACTTATATGTTTTGTATAAAAAGTGTAGTTAATTTATTGATTTTACTATTCCAATTTTCGTACATGACTATTAGTAAACTTTACGAATAATAGCATCTGTACTTTGACCAGCTAACTAAAAAACAAAAATGAATAAAATAAAACGTAAGACCTTTTTTATTTAAATGTCAATCAAAAATACATAGATCATCGTTTTAGCAAAACTATTGATAGAGTGACCATCGCGATTTCATTAATATCAAATTTGTTTCTCATGTATATTGGTGACCGATCACCAAGAATATCAAGTCTAACAAGAAACTATGGAATTCTATAAATTTTAGATGATTTCTAATATGGATCCGTGATAATAATAAATAATAAATTTTATTGATCATTATCATTATCATTTTTATTATTCTTTTTTGAATTTATTGATGTATTATAAGATACGGATGATGTGATATTATTTACTTGATAATGATGACGTTATAACAAACAATTTAAATGCACCTAGTATGAGAGTTGATGTTGTGATATCCTGACCTGTTTGAAATGTCGAACCTGATGTAACTGAATGTAAAATAACGATAACTATTTTATCATTATGAAGATCTGTTCATGATAATGATGTTGGTGGTAAATCGTGTTGTTTTGATATTTGCCAATGAAGAATTGTTGTTGCCGATGTCAGGAGCGTCATCTATAAACAGAGAGAAAAGTGATTATCAATGGTTTTTTTTCTCTCTTCTCTGAAGCAATACTGCAGGTAGTTTTTTTGTGCTGTGGTTTTTTCGATCTCAGTTGTTATTTTTTGTTTTTTCATCTCTCTGTTGTTATTTTGTTTCTATTTTCTAATCTCTTATAAAAAAAGTTAGCATTTTTTTTTAGAAGAAATAAGACCAAAGGAATCTTAACAATCGGATTTTTAATTTTAAATGATATTTGATGTGAGTATGAGCGTAACGTAGTGAATAAATTTTTGTATGAGAAAAAATTGAATTAGTAAGAGAAGCATTTCAGGCGGAAGAGGGAAGAATAAAGATACACATTAATTCAAAAGATAAACTACCTGAAATTTTTTTGTTATTGGTTAAACGTTGACTTCGAGGTAAATTTATTGAATTTGTCGATGGATCGTTTAAATCGACACCTCACGAAAAGAAAACAAAATTATCAATAATTGTATTAATACCATTATATTTCGATTAATTATCTCAGTTTAGTTTTTTTCGTTTTATGTAAAATAGTTGTTATTCACTGTTTGCTAGTGCTATATTCTGCTTTGCTGTACTACCGATTAATGCTTGTCGATTTTCGTTTGATTTTGCCGTATGAGGCAACAATATCCCAGCAGAAACTAATTATAGTTAAGTCGATCGGTAATGATAACAAAAAAATACTTGCTTTGGTTGTATGGTAAGATTTTGTCCATTAAATCAGTATTCAAATAGATATATGTGTATATCGACGCTAGAAAAAGAATAGTGAACATAAAATAAATAAAATACCAGAGAATTAATTTGTTAATAAGTAATGAAAAAGAAAAGAACTTGTCATAAGTTATTCTATTACATGGTGAACCATCATTAGCCAATACTTTCGCATGATGATCTAACTTTATTAACAGAGTAGTATTATCTATGAAAGTAGTCCATTCTCTAACTGCTAAACACATGGAAACTTTCGCATAGTTTACATCAGTAGATTATGGTAAGAAAGAAAGAAACATCAACATAATTATTAGATATTATGGCATTAACATTAACTATCAATGAAAGAAGAGCAAGTGCAACATTATCAGTGTATTTAAATAGAGGAACATTAGCTAGATGTTTTTGTTAACATTGATAATTTACGTCAAGATAGTAATCTACTATGAATATCGATAAAACAGTAAATAAAAAACCTTAGAAGTAATGATGATCAGCCATTAATATGCCCTCATCGTTAATAAAATATACACTGTAGTTGTACTCATTCCGAAAACAAATCGATAAAATCCACAACTATTTATCTATGTGAGGTATTTCACTGATCAGTATTTTGTCCTTCGTTCCGCTGACGAATTGAAGAAGAAACTTCATCATGAAGTATGTATATATGTAGATGACTGACTACAGGAATAAAACCTTCCTCAAACAGGTGGAACTGAGCATTTGCAAATAAAGTAGACAAATATACAAATAGATAGAACGCAACTTTGTCTCGTTTGTTATATGCTGGTTATTTAATGATTTTGACAGTTCATCGTATTGGCATAGATGTTGGTAATTAGTTTTTTTTGTGAATGCTTAGATCAAAGTAGCAGAAGGTACTACCGAGTGAATAGATTTATTGTGGATTACACACTACAAAAACTCTTCACGTCATATATTCTATAGCGATGAATCTCACTCTATCAGATCACTACAAGACGCTGTGTATCACACTGGAGTTTTTTTTTGTTAGAGGAAAAATCAAGTTAAACAGTTAGTATTAAAAACGAAATGACTTATGAAAATATTATTGGTACTGTAAGATTCGATTGATTCAAGGCAGCTCATTCTATTGCTGCAAAACTCATACTTTCGATTGATATTAAATATGTTAATGCATTAATTTTCAGGTTCAATATCTATAGACTAGATGCTGTTGAGATATGTCAAATTGAAAAGCTATTGGTTAGCAGAATAGAATTATACTTGTCATGTTCGATGGTATAATAAATTGAACAATGTTGTTCTGTGTCGTTATTCGTATCAATAATATTGTTTATGCTAGTTTTCATTTAAAACTTCTGGCAAGCATTTACTTCAGCATTAAAAAAGACGTAGCAATAATAAGTATAAAAATATGAGATACAGTAAATTACCAAAGTCATTCACCATGTAAATGCGGTACTTTAGATCATAAAAGTTCGCTAAAACTATCGAAGGATAAGCATTAATAGATGCTTCTGAATCACATCATATTGTTTTAGTCATTGCTTTTCCCATAGAAGCATGAATGATAACGAGATGGATAAAGACAGAAAGACACTCTGTACCAACAATTCATTTCGTCGCATTGAAAATGAAAACAACCATAATATTACGAATAAAAAAAGAATTGGCAATCATTGAATAAATAACTGTTTGAAACGTTTATCGGATTAATTGATAAAAATTGATATGATATCAGGCAATTTTTTCGTCATACTTCAATAATATATGTTCACTTTTTTTTTAAATTTAAGTCAATGTTTCTGTTGAATATATAGAATAGATAACAAAAGGATAATTCAAGTCTTTCATGTGATACAATAAATTATTTTTATGGAACCACTCATATCTGTCACTAATCTTCATTTCAGAGAAGTGATTAATATAAAGTATTGTTCTATATGGAGACTTTTATTTATAATATTTTGTTGACTGTTTGAAATATACTTAATGCTATTATGATTCATTATTCAAACACAACAGATATATGCTAGTATTATTAAAATTAATACATGATACGTGACTTTTATTTGCAAAATGATGACCAAACTTTCTCTGCATCGTGAAAACATTCAAGAATTCATATTGATTTTCAAACATACATTTGTCTACGATTTCGGCACTGAATACAAGGTAAAGCATAGTTTTGTATATTAAGATTATTGATTACAAATGTTTGTTCCATATTCTAAGGATCAATTGAACAAGATATATTTAAAACAGTAGAATACCAAAAAGTTCCAATGGATGGTTTTTTATATGCATCAGGTAATATCCTGTTAAGTAGAGTTGAAAAAATCTCTATATTCATCAGCATTAATTTTTCAACAAAAAGGAATCTTATTAACTAACTTCAATTCTAAAAGTTCATCTTGACTATAACTAACTTCAATTCTAAAAGTTCATCTTGACTATAACTAACTTCAATTCTAAAAGTTCATCTTGACTAAAATGTCTTTTTATCATCAAAATTTTGCATTATTGAACTTTTTAAGAAAAAGGATCGAAAATGAATTTTATAAATAGTACACTTTAATCTACCAGAGTTGGTATAAACGCATCTAGATGAAAACTCATTTCAATTGAATTTTGTATCGATGAATCTAATAATAATAGATTATTTGATACAGCTAGAATAATCGAGAAGACTATACACTTACGGGTAGTTTATTTGGTTATTTTTTTATTGGAAAAATAAGGTATACATATAAACTGTTTTTATGCAATCACTTTCACGGATGTAATAATCAATCATTAAACACAATTGAAAGTAAAGAAAGAAATGTCTTTATATACTATGAGCTTCTGTAAAACAAAAATCTTCTAATAGTCACAGTGCATCAATTTTTATCACACATTAACGAATTTTCTTTTATTGCAGTTACAACAGGAAAAGCAAGTGTATGTTTCTGAATAATTTTTTGTAGTGGCCAAAAAATTCACTTAAACAATTTTGATTAGTATTTGTTCTTTGACGAGAAAAGTCAACTGTTCAGCAAAATGGTAAACAAACACTAAAACATATGTCTATTAATATTAAGCCGTGTTTGCTACTCATAAACAATAATAAACAATAAATTTTATTTATCAAATCATAAAGCATTGAGAAAGAATCAAATCATAGCTAGACAAATATATGCTCGAATAAATTGAGGAATACTAAAATTTATCATGCACAAAATTAGAAAAAAATTAGAAATGATTATTTTTGTTCTTTTGTACTTTTCATTGTTTACTCATTATTTACATCGTTAATGACATCAAACCACTCGTGGTCAATGTCATCGACATCAATCCATTCACTATTAATGTCGTTCAACATAACCCACCCTTGATCGATACCATCAACATCATTTTCTGATAGTTCGATTTGTTGTTGTTGCTGATCATCATTCCATCCATAGTTATTGTCATCATCATATGAGTAATTTTTATCACCTATATCATAATAAAATATCATTTTTTCTCCATTATTAATATTATAATCATGATCGTCACCTTCTACAGAAGGCATATTAGGTGAAGACTAGGAGAGAATAAACAGTCTTGTTGTATTTATTACTATAGATTTTATTTTGAAAAAAATTATACTTGATTGCGAACGCTCACATCCAACTGCATGTAGTCACATTCTGGCAACCATATGTTAGGAAACAATGGTGGCCAATATATACGAAAAGCGCCTTTTTTTTCCATATCTAAACAAAAAATGTTTTATTAAGGGCCCCTCCCTCCTCTCAGAAAAGCCAATTTTTTGGAGATGAGTCGAAATTGAAGTTTTATCATAGGAAGATGCATCGGAGTCTCCTCTTTCAGAATATCTATGTTTTATCGAAAAATGAATTGATTTTGACGAACTTATCGTCTAAAACTTAGCTCCTAATATCATATTTTTTGAGAAATTTCTATGGCTTTTTTTCAAGCTTTTCCGACTTTTTAGGCGACTTTCTCTTTGCATCAGCATTTCGTAAAGTTTCTTTTTGTACTAATCACTAAGAAACTATCAATACTTAATATTAAGATTACATATTTATAGCCTGTCTTGAACATTGATATATAAATCAGGTGATTTTCGGAAAAATCGACTTCTAATACTTATTTTCTGTTTTTCTCACAATCGATTTTTTCGAGAATACTGTCTACGCCGGCAAGGTTTTTTAAATAATGACTCGATAGAGAAGTGACAATTTTTTTTGATACATAGAAGGCAGTTAGGGCTAGATCCTCACAGAGCCCGATTTTTGAATTTCTCTTTTGGTGAAATAAAAAACTTAGATATTTCGTTTTTGTTAGCAATTTTTTTGGGCATGATTTCGTGAATTTTACGAAAAAATTTTTTTAAAAACAAACAAAGGGAAATTCAAAAATCGGGCTCTGTGAGGATGTAGCCCTAAGGGTACTCTACAACTTGAAAAACGCCCGAGCTTGTTAGCTCGTATCCTTATTGCGAAATCCTTGCTCGCGTAAAAGGTAGTGAATTGACTAGAACTTATGCATTTCTTTGAGATTTTGGGGAGATATTTTAACCATAAACTATTCTAGTCAAGACTAACATTCTCTGAAATTTTGGTTGAAATCGGATGAAAAATAACAAAGTTCGTTTCTGAGGGGGTCCTTAATAGATTCTCTAGTTTTAAAACAAACATGCTTACAGTGAGCCACCGTGTGTGTCGTTCGATAAATAGGCTCGCCCGCCAAAAATCCGATAAGTACTAATGAACCTGTTGCGCCATGGCCATCGTAAATATGGCCTTGTAGAACAGGCGCCACTGCCAGAAGATCATCGTTGACAGCAAAACCATGTTGTAACATATTATTTTGTATCATTTGAGCCACGTGGTTCGCTTGCATAATTAGAATAGTTTTTTTAGTTTAGCTTATGTTTAGATCTAAAAAAACACAACTAACGATTATTACATGTCTTTCTTCAAGGAACTCATTAAAATAATTTTAATCATCAACGAACTCAAAAATAAGCACGTTAGATTAACTCACTCATATATATAGAACACTATGGCACGCACAAAACTCTTATCATTCTCAATTTGGAATAAATAAACATTTTAGACACATGCGTATGAGCTATGCCAAGCTTCAAAATGAATGAACATTATTCACCTGACATCTTTAACAATTATCACATCAATTATATATGAATAAAACTGCTCATTGAAATCACGTACACTAACAAACCGCATTCTGATGAAACCATCTTATCTGTATATCATCTTCGATAAATTTTAGATGCCAGACCATTGACAAAAACAATTTCTTTCTTTCTCATAAAATAAATTGGTAAAAATTCAGCGCATTTTCGATAAATAAAATGCACTCGTAAAATTTATTTTTTTCGAGATAGTTAGGTGTTGCGCAGACTAACACCATCGTTCAATATATACACAAATATATGAAAGAAAAAAAGAACAAACAGAACAAAGGAATTGACTGACTGTCTTACGTACATAAAACATATAATGGAGAAGTTTGATCATAATAACTGAAAAAAACGAATATGTTTTAGGTTTTCAATTTTAAAAATATCTTATTTAGGATAATAGTGTCACTGAAATTTCATTTGTTTCTTATTGACGTAATGGTTAAATATACCTAAATCATCAAGATAATCATTTATTCATCAAATGATCAATGTTATCATAGTTGCTCGTTTATTCTTTATTTTTTCCTGTACTCAAATCTGCAATTTCATCTGTTGTCTAATTTTATGTATGGAATATAATAGAATGTATTTTTATTTTTTTATTTTCCTTTGGTTCTTCTCTCATATGTGTTGGAGCTATTTACAAGAAAAACATACTTAAACTTTGAATAGCATATAATTCATTACACTAGAACACTAGACTTAAGAGGGAGATTTTTTCAAATTCCATCAACTATTTGTAAGTGAGCATTTATTGTATTTAAAGTAACATTTTCAGAGAACTCATGATGTACCGAGAAAATGAAAATCACGCCTTTAAAACTATCGTATTTAATACTCTCTACTTAACAAAATATTTTCAACTAAATGAGCAAGATCATAGTACTATCGTAGTGAATACTCAAGAAAAGCTGGATATTTAAAATTATTTAACTATCCTATGATAAAAATGTATAAGGAAGTAAGAATCTGAGCGAACAAGGTTGTTTCAATTGTTATTTCTTTTCATCCTTCAACTGAAGATATGTTCAATCAAAAAAAAAAGAAAAGTCAAGAAGTATTTTCATGAATAAAGACCCCAGTTGTTTAGAACTTCACAATAATAACCGAATTTAATAGAAATGATTCGCATGATTCATTTTTCTTTATGAAGCAACATTTTAATCAATTGAAATACTCCAAAGTACAACAGAACGTGACAAATATACTTGTATGGTATGGATACAATGGTATTGAAATTAATTAAGGATATGTCAATAGATATCTGATAAAAAATTGTCCATTTAACTTATTTTTAGTTTACTGTTCAAAATTTTAATTAATTGAAACACATTCGAGAAAAAAGAACACAACAAGTATCGTTGAATGAATATCAGAAGTCGAAAGAGAATAAGAATATATATGCATCTGATAAAAATTGTCGATCTCATGATTTTTTTTTGTATTGATGAAGATTCCAATCGCTTGAAATATTTCAAAGAAAGAACACAACTAACGTATCTGTGTGAATATCAATGTTAAAATTGACTGAGTATATATGAGAACAAATATGTTGGATGAAAATCGTTCATTTGATTCATTTGTATTTCTTCCATCAAAATTTCAATCAACTGATATTCGCGTTCGTAGAATATATTAATAATTACATGAATGTATCAATTGTTCATGTTCATTTAATATCTTTATCTATTCTCTTTGCTTGCACATACATGTTATATCACTTGCTTTCTTTTCATTCTGTTATACGTTCGCTTCTCGCTTGCTCACTCAACTCTGTTGATGCGAAGTTGAATAAAATTGAGCATTTAAAAACGAAGATGAAAGCTTCAAAAAAGACAGTCGGAAATATGGCTTATATTTCTCATTACATTAGCTATTCAGAATAAAGCACTTTTGAAACATCGTCACAGATATTTAAAAAAATGTAGTAGTTATTTAATAAAAATGTGCGACTACTAAATGAATTAAATAGTTGCTTCGTTTGGATCAAAATTTTGTTTATCCTTTTTCTTCATCTAACTAAATATTTCACAATTATATAAGCTATTAATTGTTTGTTAGTTGCTTTTTACTAATTGCTATTTATTAGATGGAGATTGAAATATAAAAAGCACAACAATCTTAAATTTCGCGACAGATGTGATTTATTTTTGTTTGTAGTCTTCAATCACATGTTTTACGTTTTTTTAATTTGGTTTTGAGCTTCTGTCTTCATTAATTCCATATAGATTGAATGACAATAAATATTTCTGAACAAACGTTAATTTATTTATATTAAATGACTGATATGAATTTATCATAATCAAATATTACTCCTCAATTATTCAGCATTCTTTCTTCATATTTAAATGTCTGTATAGATTATCTCACTATAACTGAAATATTATTTTTGAAAACATCTTCGAACATTTCTATTTTCGAATCAATTTAAATGGGCAATATTCAGTTTCAGCCGTTTCCACCTAGATTCAACGAGTAATTGGTTCACGCTTTCTCGTCTTATTCGTGTACGTATCATCAATCTTGCCACACCTTGCTCGAAAAAATCAGTCACAACAAATGAAGTATACTACTGTTCAAATAGTTGTCATGATTGATTAACTAGTTCTCAAAATTATTAAATATTACTTTATTGAATAGCTAATCATCGAGGTATTTGTTAACTTCGTCACCCTTGCTCGAAAAGAACTAGAATAAAAATAAATAGTTGAATGTTATTTGTGTTATTTGATTATTGAAATAGTTGCAAGTGCTGTTTAACTGGTGCTGATAATCTTTAAATACTGCTTAGGATTTAATCGTTAGTGATTTAGAAGTACTGTTAGTATTAGTATTAGATAGCATAAACATAGAAACATTAAAACAAGTAACGCTCGTCGGTTCGACTCGCTTAACCCTCGACTGAATGGGTTAAGGCTATTTATTATATACCATTTTACCTTGTTGACACAATTGGTAGTAATGTCAAATGTATGTGTCCATATGTGTGACAGTGCTGTTATGAGAATTTTTGATAGTATAATGCGTTTACAAATATAGTGATTTTGAGAAATAAAATTGGCATTGTTATCCACTATATGACGAAAGAAAGTGTTCTGAAAAGTAGTATGGTAAAAATTATCTCTTGTTCATCCCGAAGTTAAATAGAATACCATTAATCGTTCTTTGCTAGATAATACGTAAAAAGACTGAACGTTTAATGAAAAATAATAATGCAAGTTAAAACATGCATATTAAAATCTGTGCCAACCTATAAAGTCATTTCACGGCACAAGTATCACTCTATCATGCGATGACAATAAAGTGAAATATATTGTTTGTAACTGGTAGTAAGTGCTCATACTTATGCTCGACTGTCTGTTATGTAGCTCAATCAAGACATATTAATAATACGATGCGAAAGAAAAAACTATCGCAGATATCAATCACATTTATATTTTTTATGAATATCTTTTCCGTCGGGCTTGTGCATCATTCTAGTTGTGTTGTCTCACAAAATGATTCGATGAATATTATGAGTTTATACTAGAGTCGTAAATATTTATTTTAAATGTTTCATAGGCAACGAATAATACAAGCATATTGAATTTATGAGCAAAACAAACGAAAATACAATTAGATGACAAGAATGGCTCAATAAACATATTATTCTAATCAAAAATTTACCATACTTTGCTTTCTTTCTATTTCTATTACGCCTCGTCGATCCTCATATAGCTACTATACACAGAATCAAAATAATATTTTTATTTACTACGAGGTGTACATTACAAGCGATACCTCCCTAAACAATGGTTATCATCCTCTCAAAAAGCATCCACATGTTAGGATATATGGATGATTTTATATTTCTTTTGTTACTATATGTT